CGGCCGGCCGACCCGCCGCTGGGAGAGTGGGTGAGCTGTCAGGGTGCCCTGGGTGACAGGAGCCCAGGCCCGTGCAGGAAGCTTCCAGCAGAAAGCTTGGCCCAGACGCCCCCCTCCTGCAGCAGCGGGTTTGTCGGAAGAGACGAGCTCTTCACCCGAGGATGCGTTTGTGATGTTAGGGCCCAGCAGAGAGTCAGCGGAGCCCTGAGCACCACGGCTGCAAAGAAGGAGGAGGAGAGAAGCGCTAAGAGCGGCTCCGCAGGCGCCCTCATCGCCATGCCCGCGCTGCCGGTCCTACCAGACACGGATTCATCACAACCACCCGGGACAAGACACGTGCGGCTTCTGAAAACGGGGGAGACCACTGCTGGGCGCGAGGGCAGAGCTGGTCCCCGCTGTGAGCGGGGCGAGTGGTTCTGAAGCACTGAGGTGGCGACACAGAGGATGGGCCAGGGTGTGTGGGCCACAGGGTGTGTGGCCATGGGGTGTGTGGGCCATGGGGTGTGTGGCCAGGGGTGTGTGGCCATGGGGTGTGTGGCCATGGGGTGTGTGGCCATGGGGTGTGTGGCCATGGGGTGTGTGGCCATGGGGTGTGTGGCCATGGGGTGTGTGGCCATGGGGTGTGTGGCCATGGGGTGTGTGGCCATGGGGTGTGTGGCCATGGGGTGTGTGGCCATGGGGTGTGTGGCCATGGGGTGTGTGGCCATGGGGTGTGTGGCCATGGGGTGTGTGGCCATGGGGTGTGTGGCCATGGGGTGTGTGGCCATGGGGTGTGTGGGTCATGGGGTGTGTGGCCATGGGGTGTGTGGGTCATGGGGTGTGTGGCCATGGGGTGTGTGGGTCATGGGGTGTGTGGCCATGGGGTGTGTGGGTCATGGGGTGTGTGGCCATGGGGTGTGTGGGTCATGGGGTGTGTGGCCATGGGGTGTGTGGGTCATGGGGTGTGTGGCCATGGGGTGTGTGGGTCATGGGGTGTGTGGCCATGGGGTGTGTGGGTCATGGGGTGTGTGGCCATGGGGTGTGTGGGTCATGGGGTGTGTGGCCATGGGGTGTGTGGGTCATGGGGTGTGTGGCCATGGGGTGTGTGGGTCATGGGGTGTGTGGCCATGGGGTGTGTGGGTCATGGGGTGTGTGGCCATGGGGTGTGTGGGTCATGGGGTGTGTGGCCATGGGGTGTGTGGGTCATGGGGTGTGTGGCCATGGGGTGTGTGGGTCATGGGGTGTGTGGCCATGGGGTGTGTGGGTCATGGGGTGTGTGGCCATGGGGTGTGTGGGTCATGGGGTGTGTGGCCATGGGGTGTGTGGGTCATGGGGTGTGTGGCCATGGGGTGTGTGGGTCATGGGGTGTGTGGCCATGGGGTGTGTGGGTCATGGGGTGTGTGGCCATGGGGTGTGTGGGTCATGGGGTGTGTGGCCATGGGGTGTGTGGGTCATGGGGTGTGTGGCCATGGGGTGTGTGGGTCATGGGGTGTGTGGCCATGGGGTGTGTGGGTCATGGGGTGTGTGGCCATGGGGTGTGTGGGTCATGGGGTGTGTGGCCATGGGGTGTGTGGGTCATGGGGTGTGTGGCCATGGGGTGTGTGGGTCATGGGGTGTGTGGCCATGGGGTGTGTGGGTCATGGGGTGTGTGGCCATGGGGTGTGTGGGTCATGGGGTGTGTGGCCATGGGGTGTGTGAGCCATGGGGTGTGTGGCCATGGGGTGTGTGAGCCATGGGGTGTGTGGTCAGGGGTGGGTGAGCCGACATGAAGCAAAGGTGTAGACAAGATTTCCAGGGCTGAGCACTGGGTCAGGGGGTACAGAACCCAGGTGAGCAGGTTGGACTAAAACAGAGGTTCTCAACCTGTGGGTCGCGACCCCTTTGGGGGTAGAACGACCCTTTCACAGAGGTCGCCTAAGACCATCGGAAAACACATATATAACTACATATTGTTTTTGTGATGAATCACTATGCTTTAATTATGTTTAATCTATAACAATGAAATTGGGGGTCACCACAACGTGAGGAACTGTATTAAGGGGTCGCGGCGTGAGGAAGGTTGAGAACCACTGGACTAAAAGCTTTGGTCGAAGTGATTTAGAAACTGGACAGGGCTGTCATGCTGTTAGGCCTAGTTTGAGCTTGAACACTGAAAAGTGAAAAATAAAAAACAAAAACATTTAAAAAGGGAGGCTAACGGCGGCCCCGTGGGCTTCCCACTCGGGAGGAAGCACTCGCTGAACAAGAAACGTTGCTCGTTCACGTTCCCCTCCCCTCGCCCGGTGCAGACAAAGGTGCCTGTCAGCCGCTTGAGGCCTCCGGGCTTCTCCAGCTCCAAGCTGAACGCCTCTTCATCTCGCCAAGAACACCGTGTCCTTAGAGAAGGCTCTTACCCTCTTTTCCCATTAATCCTCTCCTGAAGATATTTCCCCATTGATTTTAGAGAGAGTGGAAGGGAGAGGGAGAGAGGGGGAGAGAGTGAGAGAGAAAGAGAGAGAGAGAGAGAGAGAGAAACATCGATGTGAGAGAGACACATTGATTGGTTGCCTCCTGCATGTGCCCAGGCCGAGGACCGGGATCGAGCCTGCAACAGAGGTACGTGCGCTTGACCAGAATCCAACCTGGGACCCATCCGTCCAAGGGCTGATGCTCCCACCCCTGAGCCAAACCCCTAGGGCAGGTTCTTATCTTTTCAGCCAGGGATGTAACATACTCTGTGCGACCGTTACACGTGAGAAGGCCCCTGGCTTGGCCGGTGTGTCCCAGGGGGCCATGCAGGGCTTGGCCAGCCTGACTTTCCAGCCCTGCCATTGGGCCGCACGGTTCCTCCGGGCTCTGGCCTCGCGGCCCGG